TATAAAATATCATTATGCTCCTAAAAACTGTATATATGAAATACAAGAAATTTGTTCCCTTTATAAAAGTTTTAAAAGTATAAGTGAATAAATAAATAAATAAAATAATTTATGTTTTCAGAGATGTTATCTTACCAATAAAACTTATTGGCACACCTTTCCTTTGAAGTGTTTCTGATGTGCTTCTTGCTAGATCAAATTAGTATCTCTATGTCATTAGAAAGAAATAAGAAAATGAAGCACCAGTGGAAAGAGAAAAGGGAGGGGAGTGTGAACAGCATTTCACAATTAATCAAAGGAGGAATTTTCGCACCTCATTTTTATAAAGTAGCAAAATTGTGAAAAATATATCTGCTACTAATTCATATGCTATATATTCATAAATAGTAAGGTACATAGTTTTCTAATACAAATTTATCCATTCAGTAAATTGTTTTTGAGCACCTGTTACATACTAGCTACTGTGATAGCCCTTGGGATATACAACAGAATTTCAACTAGGGTCTGCAAAAATTGGGAAGTGGGAAAATATGTGGCTGTCTACATAAAACCCAGTGCAGTAATTAGTTTTCTCAATGAAACTGAGCTAGATCAAGGGCAAGAATGGAATAATGGAATATATGCAAGTGTTCAACTATTTAAAGCATGTAGGCTTTCCAGGAACTATCAAATCTCTAGCCACAGGATTTTGGGTGCAGTATTTAAATATTCCTTCTTGCCCACAGCATTTATTCTGTTTTATTTCACATTTACATCTAATGAATATTAATACATGTTAACAAATTTAATCTTTTGATTGTGAATTTTAAACATGGCATTAGTATCCCATTCAGGAGGAGGGGAGTTAGAGTCTAAAGTCAGTGGGATGAATATGCTTACACTGGACTCTATCCTGAAGGCAATTTTTTATTGCTCAGAATAATGGTCAGCTGGATAATGTTTATGTTTCCAGCTGCTCTAATTTATAGAATTGCAATTAGCTGTAGGTCAGGCAGGCAATTGTGTTGATCTTCACTGAGTGCTCTCATGTGGTTGAGGTCAATGGTACTAAATGACTGTATCTGGAATATCTGGGTGCTTTCCTCCTTCTCATGGTGATGATCACATTTCAACTTGGACTAGGGAGGAAGCCCTCTCTTTCACCAAGTTCTTTTGGCCAAAGCAATTGTTAGGCTAGTGATGCATGAGAGTAGAAAGGAACTATCAAGATTCAAAGCAAAGGATGTGGATACAAGGGAGCATCAATGGAAGTCATCAATGCAATCTGGCACACCCCTAAATAGGAAAACGCATCCATCCTGTGCTATAAATGGGCACGTGTACCACAGTTTGCAAAAGCACGGAGAAAGAGGATGTCTTGAAGTTCCTTAAAGCACACAGAGTGCTAACTGGTGTGAAGTTTTTCTTCTGAGTCACCACATGTTCTTCTGCTCTATATAGTTGAAGCTCTAGTTTGGTCTAAAGTTAAAAAAAAAAAAATGCTTTCTTTTATCCTCTTCTTTTGGTTTATACTGTGAATCTCTATGCTTAGACATTCTTGGCACAGTGTCTGTGCAATACAACAAGTTGAAGAAGGCTACAGAATCCATAATTCACAGGAAATAAATGTAAGAGATTAAAATTAAATCTGAAACCTAGGTCTCCTTGTGCTCTCCTCTGGAATTCTGTGATAGCACACATTTTCTTGAGGGAACATCTTGCGATGGCTGCTAAGAGGACTATGTGACACAATTCTGTCAGATTTAAGTATAAATAAATGGACAATTGGATGGATAAAAGCTTTTTGAAAATAGGACCACACCTTTTCAGAGACCTTCCTGGCTCATACGAAAGCATCTGGAAATTTCCATCATTAAGAAAGAGTGAAGAATCACTATGCTACCAAATTTGTATATATGAAATGCATGAAGTTTGTATACCTTAAATAAAATCTTTCTAATAAAAAAATTAAAAAGTAAGAGAAACATCAACTGAGCAAAGGTAGATAATCGTAAGGATGGCAAACTAAATTATAAGGAACTGCAACTAATAAATTCAGGGCTAGAGAGAATTACCCCAACCCAGCCAAAGAAAGAGAATAAAGAACCAACATTATCATTACATAAAAGATCCAACTGGGCCATTCTTCAGGGCTGAACATAGAAAACGAGACATCACCTTGGAAAGCTTCCACAGTACACAGCAGAGCTATATCTTTTTTTATTTAAGCACCTTTCTGATCCTAGAGGGGAGTTTGCTTGTGAAAACTCCAACCATGTCACAACTGTCCCAATAAAGTGTAAGAAAACATCACAAAAATCCATTGTCTACATATTTCTATGGGATTGAATAAAGATAAATACCTCTTCATTTAACCACATAAAACAACAAGCCAAGGTGCATTTTTTTCAACCTCAGAATGATCAAAGTACTTGACTTGGCATCATCCAAGTCCCTTCGGAATAATTTGGCAATAAAATCCATTGTCTTACTTACTTTTCTCCTAGATAGAATATTATCTTATGATTGCTATATTGCAGTAGATAATTTCTGCATATGCTATATAATTTCAAATTCATGTGCATAAAAGTTACACTTAAAAAGTAAACATTTCAAATTATACCCTCTTTTCTAACTACTTTGAATTTCTCCCAGGAGAAAAATCTTCCCAATTTTGTTCTTCTCTGAGAGGAATTTTTTGCATACTCAATCAAATAGCTTACATAAAAATCTACTTTCATATGAATATAATTCTACATATATAGAACTACATCTGTTTTTCACTTAAAATAATCTTAGAGATCTTTATTATTTTATTTACTATAAAGGTTCTCTTTCATTTTAATAACTACCTAATCATAAATTGAATAACTGTATGATAATTTATTGTATTAGAATACCATATTACTATTGGGGTACATTTTTATGAAAATAACATTCTAAGTTTGTAAAAGTCAACAGTCAAGACTCTGAGTTTTTCTTGAAGCACAATCTTGCATTTGCATCTCTATATAATGACCTACCTCTATTCTTATGAGGATAGAAGAAAGTCCCTGATTAAACTTAAAATTTATTTGAGGCAAATCAAAGCACACTGTGATACTTGACCTTTTCAAACATATGTTTTAGTTTCTCACCTCCTCAAATTTCCTTATGCCCACCACAGCACATCATTCCTTTTCACTTTGTACCAATTGTCAGTATTGTTTCAGTTAAAATCCAACTGTCAAGTTCCATTTCCTTTTCTAGGATTTCCACCATGACACCCATAACCACAGAGCAAGTAATTTTTTTCTTCCATCAATATACTTTAGAGACATATTTGTAACTTCCTGTCATCTTGAATTATGCTTCTATAAATATCTGTGCATGCCTCATCTCCTTTGTGAAATTCCAAATCCGTTAAGGGTTGTGACCAGACAGGGCTGGTCTCCACAGAGCCATCAGAGGACCTCGTATATATATTTGTCTTATCAATACATTTTACATGAGTATCTCCTCATGTTAAGATTCCATTGAATTCTTTTAAATTATAATAATACATTTAACTAAAAGTCTGTGGCTATGAGCTTTATTTCTGGCTCTAAAATTAGTACATATTATTAGGTACATACTGGATGAGTTATTTAAAGTCTTAAAGATTTTGCATGTTAAAATTGGTATAATATTTCTGGATTATCTATATCACTGGCTTGTTGACAGACTCAAATAAAATAGTTATTTCATAAGGAAAATCTCAGCATTGGAGTATATTCAAGGGAAAAAAATTGAAAGTTCTCCTAGTCCAAATACCTGTCTATTGATCAAATATTATATATATCAATATGTCTTTGAGTAAACTATCAGCTTAAACATGAAAATTTCCAGAAATAGAACAGTATCAATCCAAATAGAAGCTCACAATATTAATGTGCAGCTCAAATATTATTAATGACTCGAAACACAGTGTAATTTATAAAATGATGCTATTTGATAATCAAAATTTTACCATATCTGATTGATGATTCACTCCAAATCTCTGAAGAGGACTCATCCTGAACATTTCATTAATTTACCAATAATTTAACCCCTCATATTATAGGACTTGGTTGTCTGAATCATAATGATATATTATTACTTTTCAGAACTTTTTCTAATCTTCACAAAAATTTAGTTTTTCGTAAAATGTTTTTCATCTACAGTATTCTTTAGTGATTAATATATAGCATATTATTATCCCAGAGCATAATATTACAAGTGAGTCTCATCACTGGCGTCATGCTAATTCTGTAAATCAAACAGAGCCAATCCTAACCAACCTGTCAAGAACTGGTAAATAATGCACTAAAAAGCATTTTGAAACACCATAAACAACAAAGGACTAATTATTATAAAATGTCAGACTTTTTTCCTTCTTCTCTATTCATTGAGCATAGAGAACCAATAAATTATAAAGGAAATTTATGTTGAATTACTAAAAAATGCTCATGAATATGTTCTACACAATGATAAAATGGGTTCATTCTATTACCATTTCACACTTTGTTAAAAATTCTACTGAAAACTAGCTATAGGACTAAACTATTTTTTAATCCTCTGTTAAAATATACCTGGAGTAGTGCGGGCTGTCTTACATCCTTTATGTATTTATGTGTACTTCTCTTTATCAGAAATGGTAGACAGTAGGAGCAGTCATAAAATGTTAAAAATTCAAAGTGTCCAATGACAATCCAGAAAATATAAAAGCCTCCGGTAACAAATAACAACAGGTATCACTATAGCACAAGTAGAAATAATATAAAACATAATGTTTAGAATTCCATTTCAACAAATAATGCTCAAAAAACCCTTCATATTAGTTTGAATCCATGCCTCTCTATGTATCTACTATGTCTCCCTTCTTAGAGTACTGGCATATTGCAGATGACTCAAAATATCCAAAGTAGTCTGATATAGTATAACCTTCCACAACCTGAAAATGTTAAGTAGAAATCAATCGAGAGCATAATAAGATACCTTCAAAGGATATAAAGGAAACCCACCTTCTGTGTGCACAGCTGACACATATGTCCAGTTGTATCTCTTCACTATGTCCACCATGGCCCGTGCCTGTTGAGCATCAGAAGGCACAACCCTCATGAAGTACTTGAATAGAGTCTTGTCACTCAGATCCATGCTGGTTGCTGAGTAAGCAATCTGAGGTATGTTGAAAAGCTGGAGCAAGTTCTGGACCTGAATGGCCACAGAACTGGAGCCAGGGCCAATGACCCCTACTATAGGCTTCTTGGAGCGGAAAGAGGAGGAAGAGCCATCTACACACCGTACCAAGCCCTCTTCCTCTTCTGAAGAAATGAGGGAATCTCTTATGAATTCAATGCTCTGCTCTAGGGCCACAGCTGAATGCCAGCAGGAATCTCTTATTTCACAACCCAGTGTGATATTGGGCAAGAGTGTTGGGTCTGAGTTGATCCTTTCCAGGGTGTGCAGCATGGCTTCCACTCTCTGAATGCCATACTGTTCACGAACTGCTCCACACTTCCTCTCATGAACTTTGTCCACAGTAGGTTGGTGGTGGACAGAAAAGAGAGCTCCAATAATGATGTCACCTGGCATGTGAGCCACCACCCTCCTCTCGCTGGACTGCGCACTCCCACGGACATCTTCTTTCAAAAGCAGGACTGACAGGATCAACAGAAGGACCATTTTAGGAAAAGAGTTCAAGCTAATGAAGACAGCATGGTGGGGAAAAATTAGGAGAGTTCTGGCAGAATCAAACAGTGTCCTATCTTAAATTTCAAACGAAGAAATCAGGCAGCAATTCAGATGTGTTCTCTAAAGGACCAACATGTCCCCAGGTGCCATTTAATTAAATGCATACATGAGATCATGATCTTCAAAACCTGAAAAAAGGAAAAAAAAAAAAAAACAGAATGAGTCTTTACAAATGTAACTAATTAGTTTAAGGGATGCTCTGATGGCCAACACTAGTGGAGAAAAAGAGAATTTCAATGATGAAGATAACAAAGGAAAAAATCTAAAAAATCTTCCTGACTTTCCTTTGTGTGTCTCCTTAATGATGTGATGAAACACCTAATACAGTCTCCTGATTCTGGCTTGCCTGGATTAGTATTTTTCATTTGTTCTATATGAAGCATGCAAAACCATATCATATTTAGCAGTCAGGGATGTGAAAGCAGCCTAAAAGCAAAAATATACCATGTACTTAAAGCTCTTGTAAGTATACCCCCAAAACACTAAACACTGATCATCTCTGAGTGATGAGTCTGGGCAATTGTCTCTCATTATGCATTCTGTTTCTTTCCAAATTTATTAATATATTAATCATGTGGTTACAAAAATAAAGTTGCATAATTAAAAAGATACCTATTCTCAAATCCAATGTAAAGCAAGTTTAATATCTTGCCAGTAATAAATACATATTGTATCTAATTATTATATATAAGGTATAACAAAGGCAAATGAGGAGGGCTAGGTTAAATTAATTGCAAGGGAGAAGGAAGGTTGGAATATTACTAAGTAAAATATCCTCCAAATAGTTATCAAGGAGTACTAAAATGAGCATGAATATTTGGAGAATATAATACTCCAGTTCAAATCCCAGTTCTGCTATTAAGAAATATTAGTAAATTATTTAGTCTCACAGTACTGGCTTTCCTCATCTGAAAAATGGCAACAATACTCGTGTTGTGTTAGGCTGTCCTTGTGGGAATCAACATATCAACCATGCAAAGGCTTTTTAAATTAAACAGTTATATTTATTCAAGGTATTTTACTTTTTTGTTAATAAATGTCCAAGAGCATTCTCTGTCTAGGTGCTGAGGAAAGAAAATTCTCTGGCAATGCACTTGATCCTCCAGAGAGTCTTCAAAGTAATTACAGAGTCATGTAATAAAACTCACAGTAATCAGTCCATTAGCCCTTATCCAGGAAAACGTTCTACAATGTTAAGGCTCAAAGGCCTGGAAGGATGAATGTTTTGGAACTATCCTTCTTAAATAGAAACTTACTACAGTGGTAAATACAGTATATATTCCCATTTAAATTCTTGGAAGAGGAAATTTATTCAGTTTCCTACAGGAAAATGTAGCATGATTTATAAAAGAAGACTGACAAATTGTGATTTTAATTAGATAAAAGGACTGTGTGAGAGACTTATTTTGTATGTTATCATCTCTGTCAGCCAAGAAATTCAAATTGTTTCAAAGTGACTAATTTCCTCAACACTACCTCTCAAATAGAGGTGATGTTTCTTCAGCAGTTTATGCAATTATCAGCATGCTGTATATTTCAGCAAAGCTAAAAGAAAACATTTTCGAATGTTTTCACCACAAAGAAATAATAAATACTTGAGAAGACAAATATGACTGCCCTGATTTAAACATAGCACAATGTGTACAAGTATTATAAAATCACATGATATTCCATGTATATATATATATATGTACAGATTTGGTGTGTGCATTAAAATTTCTTTGTTAATTTAATTTTTATATATTACTTGAAAGGCACACATACACACACAAACACTGAAGGGGAGGGGTGGGAGAGAGAATCAATCTTCTTTTCACTGGTTTACTCATAAAAATATGCAATAGCCAGGGCTGTGCAAAGCCAAATAAAGAAGTCAGGAGCTCAATTGGATCTCCCACCCCAGTTGCTAAGACCCACGTATTTGAGCCTTTGTCTACTGCTTCGTAGGGTGCTAGAAGTTGAATTGGAAGTGGAGCTGAAATTGAAACCCAGGCACTCTTTTATGAGCTGTTGGAGTACCGAGCAGCATTTTAACTGTTGTGCCAATTACTTGTCCCTCAACTAAATTCTATTTTAAGAAGAATAGTAATGGTTATAAAACATAAGAATTTCTGCAAAAATTCCAGTCTGGCCAGAAAATGAATATAGTTCAAACTACACTTCAAGTCGCTCTAACTCTTACTTTCACTGTTTCTTTTTTATTGATTCCTATGGCAGCAGAGAAAGTTTCTGTCGAGTGTCAAACACCACAATAAAAAATCTTATCAATTAAGTAGATAGCTCAGAAAAACAAGGTATTTGATCATGTAGAGAAAAAAAAATAGTCTAGGCATAAAAGTTGGCACTCTAGGTAAAGGGGGAGGAAATAAACAGCAATGCTAATTTTCTCATTGGGAAATCATGTATGCTCTCAAATCTCCCTTTTACTTTTCTTAGATCGAAAACCTGGGGAACAATACTTAGTCTTGCAGTCTTGTGAATTCTACTGCAGACAAACAGAAGACTCTGAAATGAAAGGAAGTACAACTTATCATTAAATCCACAATGTTGGGGAGCAAACCCAATAAGAAAATAGGAAACTGTTATGTAAGAGCACCAAATGATATGTGACCCTTCAAAGTTTTTTTTTTTTAATCTTTTATTTAATGAATATAAATTTCCAAAGTACGACTCATGTGTTACAATGGCTTCCCCCCCCATACCGTCCCTCCCACCCACAACCCTCCCCTTTCCCACTCCCTCTCCCCTTCCATTCACATCAAGATTCATTTTCGATTATCTTAATATACAGAAGATCAGCTTAGTATACCTTAAGTAAGTATTTCAACAGTTTGCTCCCACACAGAAACATAAAGTGAAAAATAATAGATGATTTTTTTAAATGATGATGAAATCAGATCAGACCTATTGTCATGTTTAATCCCAGTGAGAGTCAAGTTGGGAATTGATAAGCCAAGACACTCTGGCAAAAAGATCTCTGTGAGTGAGATCCCAGTGGAAAGAACAGGTCTTCAAAGAGGGAGGTGCCTTTCTCTGAAGGAAGGAGAGAACCTCCACTTTGACTATGACCGTGTCTAAACAAGATAAGAGTCGGAGAACTCAAGGGGCTTCCATAGCCTTGGAAACTCATAACTGGTGCATAGGGAGATTACTGATGCCATAAACAGGAGTGTCAATTGGTAAAGTCAACAACAGGAGTCACTGTGCACTTACTCCTCATGTAGGATCTCTGTCCTTAACGTGCTGTACACTGAGGCTTAATGCTATAACGAGTACTCAAACAGTATATTTCACTTTGTGTTTCTATGGGGGTGCAAACTGTTGAAATCTTTACTTAATGTACACTAAACTGTTCTTCTGTAAAAAAAAAAAAAAGAAAGAAAGAAATTATCAATACTCTTCAAAGTTTGAAGTCACCCTTCAAACTAATGAAGCTGAAATTTCAATCCCAAACACTTTATTAGTTATTTTAGAAAAGCTATATACAATTGAGAAACAGTAAATGGAATCTTTGAAATATTATCTTCTTTATATTTTAAATTCATTATTTAACTCATTCATACAGATCTATTAACTGTCAAGTAGAGAGATTAAATTAACAAAGAAGTACAATGACCATGATCTTTTATTGCTCCAGCTGTGTATTCTCATTTAACACATATTTGTGGCATGCCTGTGCTGTGACACTGTCCTGGGAATTGACTATGCAAGAGTAAACAAAGTGTACAGTCTCACTATGGCTGTAGGCTTTACAGATTAGGACTCTAAAAAGTGGCCTTAGTTGAAACTTGATGAATGAAAAGAAAAAAGAAGCCAGTCATGTGAAAAATCTGGGTAGAACCTGAAGACTGGGAAGGAAGGTGATACAAGGTTGCAAAGATCAGAAAGGGTCCCACATGGAGAATTTTGTCCATACTCCCACCCTCCTTCCTCCTTCCTTTCTTATTCTTCTTTTTAACTTTTACAATACATACTTTTAACATTGCATGAGAATGGCTTTTTGTAAGAGTTTTCAATAGAAAAGGGACACACTCTGAGGAACATCTTAATAAGAATAAGGGCACAAGGCAGAATCTATGGCAACAATTAGAGAACACTAGGAGTAATTCAGATGAGAAAGATGAGAGTGGTTGAGTTGGGGAGAGGGCTGTATTAAGAACTTGTAGGATTCTGAATTTATTATGGAGAGTTGGAAGGGTTTCTAGTTGGATCTGATGTGGGATGTGAAGGGAAGAAGAGTCAAGGAGGACACTAAGGTATCTAACTTGAACAAAAGCAGAGTAGTTTCATATTGACTGAAGTGGAGAGCTCTGTGGAAACAAATTCAGTTTTTATATATCAAGTTTTAGGACTTGCTAGAAATTAAAGGAGAAATATTGAATAAGTAGCTAAATTTCTGGAGAAAGGTCTGAGTAGGAGATAAAGATGTGGCAGGTGTCAGCATACAGATGTCATTTTTGTGTAAGCCACCAAAGTATATAAAATGTCCTAGGAATTTGAAAGAGAAAAGAAACAAGTCCTAGAGAGTGCACTCCAGGGAATTCCAAAATCTAAATTGCTAGAGTTAAGAAGAAACTAGCAAAGGAGTCTGAGTCATTTTGAAAGATTTATTTATTTATTTATTTCAAAGGCAGACTGACAAGAGAAGGAGAGAGAAAGAGAAAGGTAAAGACAGACGCCATCCATCTGCTGAGCCAAATTCACTCCCTATATGGCCACAACAACCAGGGTTGGATCAGACCCAAACTAGGAGCCAAGAATTCTATCAGTGTCCCCTAGGTGGGTGACAGGGACTTAAGTACTTGAACCATCATCTGCTGCCTTGCACTGGCAAAAAGCTGGAATGGAAGGCAGACATGAAACTCACTCCCTGGCACTTAGATATTGAATGAAAATTTCCCAAGCAGCAGCTTAGCTCACAGCACCACAATGTCTTATCTCTCTTTCACCTGCCCTTCCCCCTTCCTTGGGTATTTGCTCATATGGTTTTCCTCACCCTGGTTCTTATCCTTAATATGGCCTTCTTCCAATGTTCCTTATGGCAGAGAAAATAAGAACGTTGGCTTGGAGTCAAAGACCTCAGTTTGAATCCTGGCATTGCCATTTGTTTTACTTTTTCCCCTTGGAT